AAACAATAAATTTGACCAGAAAAATAATGAGGGGGAGGATGGGAGTAGAGTTTCAAATACAGTCTTCTAGTCTCTGTTAATTGGACTTTGGCTTTTACTCTGCAAAAAACAGAAAGACATTGGAATATTCTGAGTAAATAGGAGGCATGATCTGACAGATGATATAATCACTCTGTGTGCTTGGTTGAGAATGTCTTAGAGAAGGCTGAGAGTGAAAACAAGCAGAACAGTTAGCAGGCTGATGCAATGTTTCAGGTGAGAGACAATGGTAAAATACGCATTTTTTTTAGCATGCAACTAGCAGTAGAGGTAGAGAATTATTTATATTACTAAAACAATTAGAACACAGTAGGAGAGATAAGGCCAGAAAAATGAGAAGCAATCAAAATATGTAGCAGAAGATTATCTAAAAGTATATTGTGACCACGTAATGAATTACTATCTAAAACGTATGTAGAAAAATATTATAATGACACACATTCAATCATGATATACGGTAATACTAAGTCAATGTGGTATATTCCGAAATAGACTAACGATATTTTTGCAAATACAAATTGTGCACATATTTTATTTGCACTTACACGGTGTACAAAAGACATATGCATGGATTATGAATGCTTTAAAAGATTCTTATTTTTTGCTCCTCTGCTCTTCAAAAAGTTTTCTATACAATCAGCATGCATGCTAAATACATTAGCTCATTTATTTCTTTGTTCCATCAATGCATTTTTTTTTTTTGAGCATGGATTATCTTTAAAATTTTGCTCTTGGCTTTAACAAATATTAAAAATGAATGAGACGTAATTCTTTTCATCAGTCTCTATATTTTGTAGATGTAGAGTAATATAATGGTGTATATACTAATACTATTAAAAAGTTAGAGAAGCACAAATAAAATATTATAAGGGGTTAAGAGGAGAAAAATATTTTAGCTCAATGGCATTTGAATTGGGCTGAGAAATATCAGGGAAGTGTTTTGACAGTTTGTGGAATAGAATTCTCAGTGGAGGAAACAGAATTAGCAGAATTATAGAGTCAGGGATGCATAAGCCATGTTGGAGAACATGTTATCTAGTACAGCTAAAGTGTAGAGGAAATACATATAAGTATAGTACAAGGAAGTATAATCATGTGTGTTTGTGTGTATATATATGTATAGAATAGATTCAAGAAGTATGTAAGTATATTACAAGAGAATCAAACAAGAAAAATGGAAGACAATGTAAGAATATTCTTGGTCATTAAAGAGCAGTATATTTGTGCTATGTTTGTATATGAGACACATTTGCATAAAATATATTTAACCTCTGTAGACTTATATTCACAGATTAGCTAAAATCTCTTTTCAGTTACTTAAATTTTTAATTGTAGACTTGTGTCACAAAATTAATATTTATTGAAAAGAAAAATGTAATCTTATGACTCTCTCCTTTCTGGAAATATTTTCTAATTTATTTTGCATTTCACCAATACAAATATACTGGAGATATCTATTTATGGATAAAAAATTTTACTCTAGCTCCTCATATATTGAATTTTTCCTAGGAGGCAGCTGGAAGAATCTAGTTCATTATATGTGAAGTTTATTTGGAAAAATGAAAAGAATTGTTGCCCTACAGAAGAACTTGGTAGTGACGTCTGCAGAGAGGTGCTGGGCATCTTGTTTAAATTCCTTGTGACTTAGGGCTATGGAACTGAGCCAAAACCAGCATCACGGCTGCCCCTAGTCACATTGCTGCAGTTTGTAAGTTTGCATTAGTCAACAGCACTTGGAGGGTCTGATTACTTACTTGTGAACATTTGCTCTTGGCTGTAAACTGGTAAATAAACAAAGGCTCTGCATGAGAGAGCAATGACATTTTGGTAATTCTAGGGGAAAATAAGTCAATTTGAGCACTTGATTATAAAGAGAGGAAACCAAGATGTTACATTTTGCAGTCGTTTGTCCCCCCCACCCCATTTGTAACTGACAGATTGGATTTAACACATGGAAACTGGAAGACTACTTGCCTTTAAAAACGGTCTAATTACATTTGGAACTTAAGGGAAATAGAAGATTCCAGGATATTTTTGTTTTGAATTTGAAATTGGGGACAGCGCATGCACAGTTGTTTGTTTTCACACTTTATGGGAATGAATCACACCATGTCGACCGTGAGATTTAATTATGTATTTAGCAGAGAAGCTGGAGATGTGCCAATGCAATAGCTAAGCTGCTGGAATAGCCTGGGCACAGCCCCTTCCAGCTTCCAGACACTGCAAACCTTTCGTAATAGCACGTTTAGCATAGGAGATGGAATAGTGTTGATGAGATGCATAAAATCTCAGTGGAATGCTTCTGCTAGGAAACAAAATGCTGATGTCAAAAGAAGGACGTTTTTTATAACGGGGAGCAAAGCCACTGAACCTCTGGGCATAGGGTCTAACTTTAATTGAAGCAATTCGAGCAAAACATGTCATCTCTGCTTGTTCCCATTGTTCATTTCATCTACAGTCTGGTGCGTGAACTCTCCATCCTAAACCTTTGCACATGGACAGAGCTTGTTGCAATATTTAGAACCTGGAGACCAAGGAGTATGATGAAACTTGAGGGTTTTTTTATTTAAAAATTTACCATTATTTTAATGAGTTTTCTTTAATACTCAATTCAGAATTGAATTGGCTGAGAAATTTTTGGATTAATGTATGTTCAAAGATTTTTTTCTAATAACAGCTAAATAGGTTAATTTATTTGTGAAGGATTTGTGAGGGCTACTGAAATAAACTAAAAGGGAATAGGCAAGTCTGACATGATTTTGCCATAAAATATATTTCCTTCTTAGATGTGTCTGATCCAGTGATTTTCATTCTAAATCTCTTGAAAGTAGCTAGGATAAACCTAGAGTTGCTCTTTTTTTTCCTTCCCTTAAGATGTCAAAAGCCTAACAGAAGTCATACATTTACTAGCATGAGAGAGCTGTGATGCTAATTAAATAGTATTTGTTCTTGTTTGCTATAATTGTATCACCCTGGCTTATTGACCATGGCTGTAAATAATAATAATGTAATTGTAATAATTCAGGGTTTCATTGTCCATAGAGGGAAGTAACGAAAAACAAAACTTTGATAATAAAATACCTGGGCTCCAAAGATACAACTTCTGATAATCATATTCATTTTTGTCTACATGTTTTCATGTCCCTAAATAGGGACACAAAAGAAACATAATGACATGGGACTTAGAATAGGAAGTAGGGAATGCTCATTTCTTCTAATATATAATACATTCCACTTGAGATAATATTTGATCTCTTGATCCTTGGTCTCTCTGTCTATAGATATTTAATTTATTCTCCCAGAGTCTAGGTTAGCGTTTGTGAGGGTTGTTTGAATTTGCTTTCAGTGAATCTTCTGACATACAATATACAGATATGTTTTTAATAATACCGCCATTAAAATGTATGTATCAGATAACTTCCAGTGAATGGAGTGGAACTGCTTGTGATCAGGAATGATGCTTTCTCTGTATTGATAACGTCACGTAGGCACCTTCAAAGCCTGCAATTGGCCAGTTTGCTGAAGCAGCATTGCTGATTAGTTGATTAACTTAATAAAGTGGGGCTTTTGCTACCACTGCACTATCAAAGAATCACTCAATGATAAGTCCTTGAAAATATGTAAAATAAGTTAAAAGAGAGAAGAAACCGAGAAAGCCATTCATGACCAACGACAGAATTATGTCTCTGTGGTGGGCTGGCAGGGCGCTCGAGCAGTAGCCCTCTGCTGTGATCCCCTTCAAAGAACCCCCTGAGCCACCCAAAGAAAGTTGATATGCCCACGGCTCTGTTCCTTTCAGGGGTAGATGGGGGTGGGAGCAGGAAGTGGGAACTTATAAAAGCCTTGCATCACACCCTGACTTGGGTCAGCTTCAACATTAATTTCTTTTTTAGTTTTTATCTTCATAGATTTAGGAGGATGAGTACAGTTGTGTTCCATGGATATAGTGTGCAGTGGTGAAGTCTGGACTTTTAGTGTAATCATCACCTGAGCAGTGGACATTGTACCCAATCAATAGCATTTCACCCCTCACCCCTCTCTTACCCTCCTGCCCACTGTAGCCTCCAATATCTATTATTCTATTCTGTATGTCTGTGTGTACCCATTGCTTTGCTACCACTTATAAGCGAGAACATGTGGCATTTGACTTTGTGTTTCTGGGTTATCAAAATTAATTTCACCTTCAGAACTTCATTTGAATTTGGCTGAGGCTCTCACTGAGATCACATCACAGCTCAGCTTCTTCCTCTGCTTGTATCTTTCCTTCTGCCACCATAGGTGTTGATTCCCCAAGAGCCTCCTGCACACTAATTTCAACCTACAACTTCCTCCGTGTGTACTAATGAAAGGGCCGATCTGGGCAGCTTTTATGTCCCAGGCTATCCCAGGTCTGGTAACCAGCCGAGAGAAAGGACACCTAGTTCCTTAAGGCTGAATTGTCCCTCTGACTCTATCTAGTCATATATCCTAAAATCAACCTCTGCATTCGTAAGACACCCTGACATTCATGTATTCCTTTCTTAACTACCTTGAAGAACAATCTCTCCCCAACAAAATTAGTTGCCTATTCAGATCCAGAGCATGTGAGATGATTTCAACTGAACTGAAGCCAAGATCCACGCCTAGCAACATTATCACGGTTTTTTGGGCAAAATGCCATGCTTTACGTGTCTGAATTCACAATTCAATAATGTTATATGCCTTATTCTATTTTCCAGAATGTTACTTCGAATCCCAGATATTGAGACTATCATTTTGTAAGGAACTAGGAAGTGTTTAGTCATTTCTGTTACGTGTAAAGGACAAAATTTAAAACATTTCCCTAAATTTGTTATTTTTTCTGTCTTGCTTTGAAATTTCTATCACTTGTAAGCTAACATTGTTCTCTGTGTGTGTTTTGGTGTCCCTGATTAAGCCTGCTATTGTGGTTCTGTTTTGACACTCTTGATGTCAATTTTCAGGAAACACCTGTCTAAAGAACAACGTAGAGCTCATCATACAGAAGTGAGCCAGCTATCTCTGCCAGACGGAATAGAGTTCTAGCATCTGTGTCTTCAGGCCAAATGATGTATGATCCAGTTTGATTTAATTTACTTATCATTCACATTGGAGGGAATTCAGAATACGAAGGTATGTTCACAAAGAGACCATTTCTGCCAAATTCAAAATAATTTCTAAGTGTTCCTGGAATGTGTGACTGTTGATTATTAAGTCAGAACTTACTTTCAGTTAAGGGATTCTCCCATTATATCTTTAGCCCAGTAGTGCCGAACTTGGTTGACCATGACTCTAGCTAATAGGTGATGTATGTATACTGTGAGAAAACTAATCTACCTCTTCAAATATCTTTCCTAGTTAGCCAAGATTTGCAAGTACTGGAGAAAATGAGCTTTTATCTCTAAAAATGGTCAATCTTCTTAAGTGCTCTTTCTGTATTTTCTTGGCAGTTACATACACATGCTCACTTTCAAATTCAGAAATCATAATGATTGGCAGCAGGGGTGCCTCAATCTACGCACTCAAGTGTCCACACGATGTTGCACCTCTTTATTGACTAGGGAATGAAATAAAAGCCAACTTCTGAGGGCTCTTTCTGCTGGGATGATAGAAGATTGACTCCTTTCTCCCTTTCTTGGGGTTTCCCTCTCTCCACTGGGGTGGGAGCCATGAATCTGGGGCCTTTTGCAGAGATAACACATTAGAAGTGAGAGCCCCTTGTAGTCATTACAGCCATCTCTCTGCTTTGACAACTTCTGAGATGTTCCTTGCTCCTTCCCACATGGCTTCTTCAGTCCTGGCCTCTTCTGTTCTTTCTGTGTCATGCTTGTGACCTGGAGCTTCCTGAAAGGCTGTCTGTGGCCATACTAAGTTTGAAGCACTTCTCTCAAATCTTGTCACCTCCTTCAGAGCAGCACACAAATTCTCTTTCTCATGTAACCCAGTGCCTATTCTGCATTTCCTGAACTCCTTACCTCTATTCAGTGTACTTCTACTTTTTTTTTTTTTTTTTTTTTGAGATAGAGTCTTGCTCTGTTGCCCAGGCTGGAGTGCAGTGGCATAATCTCAGCTCACTGCAACCTTGCATCCGGATTCAAGTGATTCTCCTGCCTCAGCCTCCTGAGTACCTGGGATTACAGGTGCCCGCCACCACGTCCGGCTAATTTTTGTATTTTTAGTAGAGACGGGGTTTCACCATGTTGGTCAGGCTGGTCTCAAACTCCTGACCTTGTGATCCGCCCACCTCAGCCTCCCAAAGTGCTGGGATTACAGGTGTGAGCCACCGCGTCTGGCCTACATTTCTTAATGGTGTAGCCATTTGAGGGGGAAAATACAGACAGACTTGAGATTTCTATAATCACCATTCCTCAAGATACAGAAATCTTATAATCTCCTCAAGAGCAGATTACTTGCTTTAATGTGTAATAATAATAAAAATACATTGTGTGTGTGGGGGGGAAAGGACCACACAGATTGAGATTTTAATATCTGAACCTACTATTCAACCACAAATCTTATTAGCCATTTATTGAAAAGCTTTCTTGTTTTAGACAGATAGAACAGGCCCTGAGTAAAGAAAGGAAGATGCAGAGTGCCCTGCGAAGAACTTGTCACCAGACAGCAAAGGTTGTGTCTCAAGCTTCAGTGCAAGTGTGGCCAGTATGGGTCCCAAAAAGTCAAGATGGCTCCTGACAGCAGTAATCAGGTACAGGGATGCGCAGTGATGGGGAATCAAAGGCATCTAGCCTAGTGCCGAAGTTTACATTCTTACCAGCTATGAGATCTGATGTGCCACTTAATCTCTCTGTCCTTTAGTTTCCTAATCTTTAAAATGGACAGACAATTTAAAAAATAATTTAAACAGTTCCTGAAGTATTACAAAAGTGATTATTGATGACAATGATTATTTATGAGAGCACCAGGACATGGGAAATGTAGATTATATATTCTACAGGATATATAATCCTATATATCCTGCCAGGACAGAAAGAATAATGTGGAGGAGAAATATTGAATTGACAGCATATTTACCTAGATGGAATGGAATTAAAACTAGAAGAAACTGAATGTACTTTGGATTGGTAAGATTAAGTTTCCGGACAGCAGACGAAATGGATGTCTATAAATCCATTTTTCACAAGTGGGTCAAAGTGTCTATAAATTCATATCTTGCTGGATAATTAGATAATTCCCTTTTAAAAATAACATGTGGTTATAGTGAACCAGACACAAATACAGGATTTATTGGCAAGAACTAATTGATTCTAATTAGTTTGATACCTAATTTGGTTTTATGTTTCTCTCTTTGCGTTTTACCTCCAAATTGAAGACTCTTTACCTTAACAGCTTATACAGCATAATCTGTTAAACATTTCTGGAAAAAGAAATGTATCATTCCCTTTGAAAGTTATTCATTCCAATCATAAAATGCCACAGGCTTTCTCCTCCCCCACCTCACCCTGCCCCATTCAGAATTCTCTAGGGAAAGAAATGGTAGGGAGATGAAAGTCCTTTAAGACTTCTCCTTTTAAGAAATGAGACTCTCTTTTCCCTAATTTAATTAAAATAAACATGACTTGAGAAAGAACATGAAATACCTGCAGGTTTAATTCTAGTTTCTCTCCATCTGTCAGACCCATATTTTCTGAAATGACCTAGCAGCTGTGCTGCAAAGACGCTCTACATTAATGTTCTCCTTTATCCATGTATAAGACTCAAGCTTTAGTAAATATTTTAATATTTTGTTTATATTAGGTATAGCCACCTTTTAAAAATGCCATTGAAAGCTTAATGTTTTTCTTTGATGGGTAAAATATTGGCAATTGAAATGGGACATCTAGCTCTATAATTGTTGACCTATGAGAACATTTGGAAGAGTCTTCTTGTTTATAACTAAATTTCAAATCGTACCATGAGAGTCACTTTTCAGTGATTCAGAATGGACCATGGTCTGCTTCTATGAGTAGAGGCGAACATATATATATATATATATTTTTTTTTTTTTGACACGGAGTCTCGCTTTGTCGCCCAGGCTGGAGTGCAGTAGCCCGATCTCTGCTCACTGCAAGCTCCGCCTACCGGGGGTCACACCATTCTCCTGCCTCAGCCTCCCGAGTAGCTGGGACTGCAGGCACCTGCCACCATGCCCGGCTATTTTTTTTTGTATTTTTAGTAGAGATGGGATTTCACCATCTTAGCCAGGATGGTCTCGATCTCCTGACCTCGTGATCTGCCCGCCCTGGCCTCCCAAAGTGCTGGGATTACAGGTGTGAGCTACCGCGCCCAGCCGAGGTGAACATACATTTTATATGGTCTCAAAACAATCATAGGTTTGTAAAACAAAGAAATAGTAATTTGGTGATAATACCTGGACACAAAGGGATGCTTTACTCCATCATTCTGTCATTCAACTACTTATTTATTGAGCACCTATTATACTAGGCATGATTGGAGGAGCAGGGAAAGGGACTTTATTTAGATACAGATCTTGCTTTCAAGCATGTTAATGCTTAAGATTCCTTTAACAGGATGAAATAATATGTGTCCCCCAAGAGGAAGAAATCAAGGATTATTTCTTAGGAAGGGTGAGAGGGGAGTATACGTGATTAACAGAACCCTCATAGAAAAGCCTTAAATCTGAGCCAGCTTTGAAAGATAGATGGGATACATTTCAGAATGTGTCTTCAGGGGGACAGGTCTTTTTTGGGAAGCAACAGTAGAGGCACATTCGGAGGAGGCAGGAAGGGACAGAGTGTACGCCGGGAGGGTGAGAGCTGCACAAGAAATGAAAGGCAGTTAAACAATAATATTCACCATAGTTGATATGAGCTGAGCAAGGAACTTTCACACAATAGTGCTTCTTAAAACCCCCTCTGGTGTGTACTAATAGTCAACAGGAACTTGGTAGTGTAACCAGAGAACTGCTGTGAGGTTTACATTTCTTTAAATCTGGACCTTTAAAACATTTTTACAAAGTTTGCATTTTATTCCATAATACAAGTACATTTGTTTTCAGATAAAAAGTCTTAAATTATTTTCAGGAAAATGCCACAGTTTTGTATCATGGGAGTGGCCCCCATCCCTGGATGTACGTGACCTGAGTTTGAGAAGCATGGACATACATTTGCTCACATACTAATAGCAGAAAATAAGTACAGAAAGGAAGATTAATGTCAGATTGTGGTTGGCCTTGAGTGAGTAGTTCTTCTTCTTCTCATTTTTTAATTTTTTTTGTTTGATACAGAGTTTCGCTTTATCACCCAGGCTGGAGTGCAGTGGTGCGATCTTGGTCTCTAACCTCCACTGCCCAGGTTCCATTGATTCTCCCCACTCAGTTTCCCGAGTCGCTGGGACTACAGGCATCTGCCACCATGTCCAGCTGGTCTCGAGCTCCTGACTTCAGGTGATCCACCCGCCTCGGCCTCCCAAAGTGTTGGGATTACAGGCGTGAGCCACCACGCCCAGCCTTGAGTGAGTAGTTCTAAGCTAATGCACTCGGCAGGAATTTTTTTAGGAAATGAGGGATGATAGAAGGTTTTAAAGCAGGATAGGCACAAAACCCAACCTTGCTTGAGCCAGCAGGACTGACTTGGTAGCAATATTTCACATGGATTAGCTGGGGAAGAAGAAAGGAAAGCAGAAGCCCAATTAATAGCTACCAATGCAATCCAGCGTAGTGGTAGATATAAGGTAACAGAAGAGAAAAAAATACAGCATAGACTCGGAAAGGATGGAACTTGAAAGCTGATTGGAAGTTGGTGGATAATGATGAGAGAGGAACACACACTCTGGGTAACTCTAAGGCAGGTAACTGAAAGGTCCACTAAAGGAAATAGAAAATGTAAGGACCAGAGGAGCAAATTTGAAAGTAAAAGCCCATATGTTCCACTTTAAACCATTAAATTTCAGATAGCCAAGTTCCATTCCAGCAACCTGATGTCAAGAAGCATGAACTTTTTTTCAAAATTTCCATTTATTGCATTAAGGATGCATGGACTTCCAGTAAAATCTTAGATGTACTTAGTAATGATGTATCAATATTTTAAATCTATTTATATATTTATGTAGTTTTAATCACTTGTTACTACTAAAATATAACTTAATTCAGATTTTTTTGTTAAATATTCGAGATTTGGGGATTAAAATAAACAAGTTTCAATTAATAAACACAATACTTTTTTAGCATAGAGAAACATGATAAGAGATTAACAAAAGACTTTGAAGAATTAAATATATTTTATTACAATTAAATTGTATAAGGGAAGTAAAATACAAATTCAAGGAGAAAAGGAAAAGGTAAACTGGGAAAGAGTAGCTTCTTAATGTCTTTTTAAAATAGATGATGGGATGTATCACATTGTATGTATGTAGTTTCCATTGGATACATTTAAAATTGATGCGATTTCTATTTTGAAATATCAGTATTTACAATGTAGGAGAAATTGCATGCTTTTCAGCTATTTAAACTTACAATGAAAAAATTGTAGATATCAATTTAGGAAATGTCAAAGGGGATATATTGTTATTCAGATTATTTTAGGAGATACTTGAGCAAAATAAATCTGAAGAGCACTGCTCCAACATATGTAATTTGGAAATTGGGAGGATCATCTTGCAACTAGACTGGAATCACCTCTTTGGATGCTGCTTTTCTGAATTTGTGTTTCTTCTTGTTCCTCTTCACTTTGCTTGGACAACTCAGTGTGGCTGCAGCATGGAGTTTGTAGCTGGTGGTTTCCCTTGATGCAGTATTGCTAACCCCCAAAAGGTCCCTAGATGGGGGTGGTGGTTTGGGTGAAATACTGAACACCTGCCAGGCCTCATGCTGGGTGGAAATCCTGGCTTTGTTTCATCCTTGGTGTGTGACCTTGGGCAAGTCACCCAACTTCTTTGAGTCCTATCTGTAAACAACTGATGTGGTTATATAAGCGTTAAGTAAAATCATGTCTACACATTACTTTGCACCATTTAGCATAACATAACAACTCAGTATAGTTCTTTTTTTTTTTTTAATTATACTTTATGTTCTAGGGTACATGGGCACAATGTGCAAGTTTGTTACATATGTATACATGTGCCATGTTGGTGTGCTGCACCCATTAACTCTTCATTTACATTAGGTATATCTCCTAATGCTATCCCTCCCCCCTCCCTCCACCCCGCAATAGGCCCCGGTGTGTGATGTTCCCCTTCCTGTGTCCAAGTGATCTCATTGTTCAATCCCCACCTATGAGTGAGAACATGCAGTGTTTGGTTTTCTGTTCTTGAAATAGTTTGCTGAGAATGATGGTTTCTAGCTGCATCCATGTCCTTACAAAGGACACAAACTCATCCTTTTTTATGGCTGCATAGTACTCCGTGGTGTATATGTGTCACATTTTCTTAATCCAGTCCATCATTGATGGACATAGTTCTTTTTAACTATTAAGAGTTGTGTATAGTCTTTATATACAGTATAGAACAAACAGTAGTTGTTCTCAGGGCAACTGGCACCTTCCCAAGTAGGTGAATTTAAAGACCTTTATCAGTTTTCTGCTTACCTTTTCTCTTTTAAGCAAAACAAGTGTTTCATTAAGTAAATGACTAACACAGGTAAATGACAGTAAAATGTTGAAATTGTTTTTGTTATGCACTCTGCTTTCCAGCAGCCTTTAAACACCTTTTCTATCACTGGAGTATTGCTTTATTTGTGTGCCCTAAGGTAGTGTGTACAGGTAGGATGCACTATGGCTCTATAAATCAGATGCATTTACCCAAGCCTCGGGTTGGGAGGTGAGGAATGTGAATCTACTCTCCAGGTGAGAGTTCAGTAGAGCCATGAAATGTTCTTGGACATTTTCAAGTCTCTGGCACAGAAGTGGTCCTAGTGCTGGTGACCATAGTGATGGGAGGAGAGTCATGTCCCTGGTGGCTGTGCCAACTTTAGCACCTAGTTCGTGGTGGCAGAAGTAGGAGATAACCCATACAACTACTTTTGGACAATTTATGTATCTTTGCAGAATGCATGGCACCTATTTTGGAATCTCAGCCTTCTCAGATCTTCTGTAATTCTCTAATATCCTTTCAACAAACTTCTTTATCGGCTTCACCAGTCTACTACTTCCCAGAATGAAACAAATATACAATAGGTGATTTTAACAGGGCAAGTTTTGAAAGAAACAGGTATCTATGGTCTCATATTAGTCACAGCCTAATCTGATCTGGATCTTCCTCAGACTATTTTAGACTCTACTTTTATGATACCACACCTTACACACATAGTGCTATCTCATTGGTGCCTGCAAATCTCCAGGCTTTGTGTAAGGAAGCTATATTCTTCTGGTCTTTTAATTTGGAAGTTCTCAAACTTTTATCTGTTGTCAACATAGTGGATGAATATGAAATCATACCTGTTGTAGCAGTGGGGTGCTATGGGAGTAGAGGTGAACTGGAGACACTGCAAACTGGAGAAGCTGGAAAAAATAAGAACATTTACTGGATGAATGTAATTTGAAAAACTGCAGAGCAAAAGCTGATTTACCAATGTTTACCCCTCACACTGTCTACCACACCCCGACAGTATTAATCTAGACTTGATATTTGTTTTATAAAGTCAGATCATAATGACAGACCTTAGATAGTAGTAAATAATATTTGTATTCTCCTTTTTTTAGGTTTATGTGGAAAAGGAAGGACAACATCCCAGGAATGTGACCTTCTGAGAGGGACTTTGTCCTATAATTCATCCGTCTGGGGAACATGCATGAAATAAGACTTGGAGACAAAGAAAGGCCGAATGCAGTAGTAAGCCGGTATAAAAATTATGTTCTGGGAAGCAAGGCTACGAGTTACAGAGGACCACTTTATTTATTTCTGTGTATTTATTTTCAATTGGTGTGATATTTAGAGTAGTCAATCCTTTTGACCCCTCTTAACTACTTATTGATCAGAATACTGCTAATTCCGCATGATGCACATACTTTTTAAAAAAGACTTCTTCAATTAAAGTGATGAATGTAATTCATTTATTCTTCAAATTTGCTCTGATATTAATTAATGAAAAAATGCATTACAGCCTTTTTGTAAAAGATGAGGGAAAGGTAAGTAAGGCATCCTCTCTCTGAGGGTCTTCAGATTTTATCTCTAATACTCAAGATGATAAAGTTGATATTACATTAGCCTTAGATATGTTAGTAATCAAGTGTGGCCAGATAGCTGCCTCCTGATTACATATCTGAGAAGATAAATATGGTATTTATGTCAATCAAAGTCAACTTCAATTCACTTTTTGACTAGTTCCAAGTTTAATAGAGTGTTCTGCAAACAGAAGAAGCTTAAGAGATCAGCCGAAAATGAAAAAATTATTTACCCTTCAGCCATCTTCAGGCTAAAGATACATAGTTCCTCAATATATTCATGGAATGTGAGAAAGGCTGCAAAACTTCGCAGGTTTACTGATATGGCATAACTTTGGTTCATGAAAAAAGGTGTTTTTTTTTTAAATTATGAAAACAATGTCACAACATTACAAAAAGTTTGGCAAATACTAGGAAAAATATCAATCATAATTTAAACACTCAAACATTAAACCAAATGCAGTATTTTTGATATTCGTGGGTTCTCTTCCTTTTGTTTTTCATTCAAACCATCTTCCATTATTGCAATCATAATGTACTTATAAAAACTTTGTTCCTTCTTATTAAAGTTAGCTGAAGAAGGATTTTTATGTATTGCCATATGGACTTATAATTATCAATTTTAAAATTGCATAGTTTTCAATCAGGTAGATGCACTATAATTTAACATTCTCTTGACTGTGGACATCTCGTTTACTTTTAACTTTTTGCATAAAAGAGTTTCCAATGAATGTCTCGTGTTCATTGTGTTTTCCATTTTGGGGAGAATTTCTTTAAGATAATTCCTGGACTACATAATGACATTGTCTAAAAATTGGTGACTTTGGTAAGACCAATTACAGGAGGGTGTTAGAGACTAAAAGCCAGTTTTCAATGGGTTGAAGGGTGAGTGGGGGTGACATCCTAGAACATTTTTCTGCTGACTGTAGAAAATATTTTCGAGAAAAAGATTGAAGCTATAGGAACAGGAAAGAATGACTAAATGAAGGAGGTCCTGAAAAGGCAGGAGGGGTCCAGAATTGCTGAATGCCCATAGAAAGTTAATAGTAGGAAAAGGAACATCTGCCCCTCAAAGTGAGGGAAATCACAATTGTAGATATGGATGCAAGTTAGCCTGTTGGTTTAGTGGCAAGAAGCTGAGGGAGTTCCAGGGTTCATTTGCCTGGAGGAGAACAGAGAATATCTACAACAGTCATTATTAAGAGTGAAAGAAAATAGACTAATAATCATAATAGCTTGAATTTTCTCTTGTGCACTCACCATGTGATTGCAAGTGTGCTG